ATTCAGTCCTCTCCTTCAAGCTTGTGGGTTGGTGGCTGCCTTCAGGCCTTATTCTGGGCTGGCTCCTTCCCTGCTTTCCAGGCTGTTCTCTCTCAGGGGATGGTTGAGGATGAGAGATCCTCCCTTCCAGCTCCTGCCTGCAGGTAGACCCCTCTCCTGGGCCCCATCTCAGGCTCCACACTTAAGCCTTCACTTCATCTTCCACCATAATTACTCCACTTGTTGATCAGGATCTCTCATATTTATGGTCTGTCCTGGCCCCATGCCAAGCCTCCTGCTTGGGGATTGGCCAAGATCCCTAAGTATGTAGATCAGCCTTTCTTCACCCCCACCCGCTGCCTTCTAGAAACTTCTCAAGCTCCCAGAGCAGGAGGAGGTATCAGGGAAGTGACCTGCAGAGCCCTCAGCCCTGAACTAAAGTTAACTGGCGACTCATCCCAAGCTAACTCATACCAGGCTGCTATCTAGCCTCTATCTAAAAAACCTATCTAGCGCTCCCCCCAGCTAGAAAACAGCCATGTCTTCATTGGCTGGGGGGGACAACAAAAAAGATTCTTGAGACCAGAAATGGGGCATCTTATACAAAAAAAGGGAAGGGAAAAGGGAACAAACTGGGAGGGGATGGGATGTACAAATAAATATTAGTAGAAAAATAGAGAATATAAATAATGTACATATTTACATTAACAGGCATATATACACCCTGATTAAAGCTATTCATAGCTAGCTGGAAAAAAAACCCCACAAATCACCAAAAACATATGTACAGGACATAACCAAATGGAGAGGACACACCTCCTCCTAGAAGAAAGCCCCTCTTCAGCAGAAGTAGTTCTACTTTTGTTCTTATGCAGGGAATGAAAGCTGTCTGGAGACTCCTGCAGTACAGTGGAGAGAACAGACAACAAAATAAAACAATACAGCCCTAATACTGGGGACTCTCCCTCCTCATTGGCTGAGACAGCAGCGGGAGCCCTTTGGCTCCCGCTGCTGTCAATCTCAACCAGTAAGCCAATGTGGAGAGAATAAGAAGGAGGGGCCGAGTCTCTGCTCTATGTGTCCTTTGAAGCTGACCTGAACCGGCTGAACTGCGATCTGTGTATAGGCCCCTTCCCACAGGCGTTCTGTATGCCCATTTTTCATCTGTACATTTCCGGATGAAAAACAGACACCCATGTATTTCTATGGACTAGCGGATGTAAACGGATGAACATCTGTTTACATCCGTTAATGTTCGCATCCGTTTACATCTGTTTTTTGAACAAAAGAGAAAACCCTATTTTTCTTCTGGAAAAGAAAACGGAATGGAAGAAAAACAGATGTAAACAGATGCACACATATGAAAAACTGATGTAAATGGATGTAAATGGACATACGGTCCGTTTTTGCATTGGTAAAGGATGTAAACTAATGAAAAACAGATGTAAACGGATAAAAAACAAATGTTAACTGATGTAAACTGATACAAAACTGAATTAAACTGATGAAAAACTGATGTGAACTGATAAAAAACTGACGTAAACTGATGAACAACTGATGTAAATGGATGAAAAACTGACATAAACTGATGAAAAACTGATGAAAAACTGATGTAAATGGAGGAAAAACTGACATAAACTGATGAAAAACATTTGTAAATGGAGGAAAAACTGATGTGAACTGATCCGTTTTTTCTTGGAAAACACGTGACTGAACTAATGAAAAAATGGAACGCCCTTGTAAAAGGATCCTTAAGGTTGAGGAGGAAGGTGTCCAAACAGAAGAAAGATTACATCCTGGTAAGATGTGGACTTCTTGTGTCATACACTTGCCATGTGGACCCATCGTGTTGTACACATCGGGGTTGATTTACTAAAGTCAAATAGACTGTGCACTCTGCAAGGGCATTTGCTTCAGAGCATAGTAAATGAGATAAAGCTTCACTTTGCAAGGCATACCCAATCACCTGTAAGGAAAATAAAAACCAGCATTGTTCTGGTGTAGCACTACCCCCTTAGGAGTCGCTGAGTTATTTTCAGGCTCCCCGTTGTTCTGGACCCCTTTCTGAAAGCCCAACCCCTGCTGACATCATGGGACTCTTATGAGTAAATTGCCACCAGAAAGTAGATTCACACACAAATTAGAGCAAATTGATATGAAATTCATATTAAGGTTCAATGCAAGCTTGAAAAGACAGTACAAAATGGTATTCGTATGTGGAATGGCAATGATTACTCTTAGCAACTCCAAGCAAAGAAGCAACACATACATCAGAATCTCAATCAGTGTTAGCAGACTTGCTTTCCAGAAGTTATCCCAATACCTTCAATCTGAGGTGTTCTCAACCCCAGTGAGCAATGACAACTAGCAAACAGAAAAACTAGCTCACTTGAGGCCCACAGAATCTGATGGCAAGACTTAAAACTGAGATAGAAAGAACTATTTGATCAATGTAGTCAATGTCCCTTTAAATGCAGAGGATTCTTCTGCGCGCTCGCTGGGGCCCAGTTGGTGCACAAGTAGAAAGTGATGTAGGTGACAGTGCCTGAAAGGATTAACACAAGGAGAGGAACAAGAAAGGACAAGTACTCTCCCTTTAAGTGGCACTTGACTTGGGGGTTGTCCCTTTTTATGCACTCAGGCGGCTTTAGGAGAATAAGGTGTCAAACTGGCAGTAGGGCTTGTTGGCAAGAGGGCAACTCCACTCTGGGCTGCAGTAACAAATGGCAATGGTAGTAAATGCTCCTTTATGAGGGTAAGCCAATGATCAAGGGAGAACTGATGTGATATGGCCTGCAGAAAGTGTACACTGTGGCCAGCTCTGATGATTCGACTGCGCTGCAAACGTGCTCAATAGTAGCGGCTGTGGGAACTAGGCTGCAACACATGCTAACTGGATGTAATGTCCGTAATAATGGCAGGAGAAGTAGCAGATATGAGAAGAATGTCCGTGTTCTCTTGTTCAATTGGTGTGTGGGACTCTCTCGCCCGATTGGTGGCTTCCAGCAGGTCCTGGCTGTCTCTCTCTTTCAGCGGATGGGGGCCCCCACAGTCTCACTTGCAACATTATGTCTGGTCATGGCGCTCTGGGTCACCTGCTTGCAGACTGTCTTGCTGAAGAGGGTGACAAGGCCAGCGGTCAATGACTCCTCCTTGCTTCTTCTTTCTCTAGCTCTACAGCCTGGTTCAGTTCTCCGGCAGTCAGCACAACTCTCTCTATCCTTCCGCTCCCCAGCTCTCTATCCTCTCGCTTCCTGTCCAGTCTCCAGGGCTTCTGTATAAATCTGCCTCCCGCCCACACACCAGCTCTTCTGGGAAATGTAGTCCTCTGGTACACTACTCCCCAGCAAAGTCATGTGATTTAGCATACAAGGTCCATGGGGCTGCTCTGCAAAATGTGAGTGCCAGTGAATACCTAGGACACTGCCATCTTGTGTTGGTTTTAACATCCTGAAGTTGACATTACAGCACGGTGTTACACTTGCATGATTGGATGATGGAAGTGAGTAGAGCTTCCCCTCCTTTATTAAGCTCTGGAGCAAATGTCCTTACCAGGGGCGGACTGACAACTCATGGGGTCCCCGGGCAATAGGGGATCATGGGGCCCCTGTGTCCTTGCCCAAACTCAAAAAAGCCTATGAAAAAGGTACCAGGGGCATCTCATGGGGCCCCCTACTGACCCCGGGCCCTCGGGCAGTGCCCGAGTTTCCAAATGGTCAGTCCGCCCCTGGTCCTTACAGAGTACAACTGCACTTGCAATGTACAAAATCTATTTGGATTAATAAATCTACCCCAATGCTTCCAGAATGGTTACTTTGTGGTAATTCAAAGTGTCTGGAGCCCCCATACCACCATCAATCACATGCCTATACTGTATAACAGTTTCCCTTTAAATCTGGATTTTCCCCTTGCTAGATAAAATGTGATGAGGCAGATTGGGGTTTAAGTAAGAACGGTGTAGATGGGAAAATGCAAAATAAACAAAATAATCCTTGGTGGGACCATCATCTTCACAATGGCATTCCTTCCAGCCTCGTACGGAGTTATTTTTTTCTTCTTGTAGAAGGTGGAATAAAGGCATTGGATTACATCATATTAAAGTGAAGAGTGATGTGTAATTGTTTTCTAGAATAGTTTTTCTGGCTGTTTTACCTCCCTTTATTCTAAGAACAGCCAATATTTTCATATGAGGAGAGACAACAATATTTACCCATTTAATCTTTTTATCTGGGACAGACAATGAAAGGTCTTTGCTCAGGGGAATTTTTGGGTTTCTACCAGCTGTATATCCTGCTCAGGGTGCCCTCTGGCACTCTCCTCTGTTGTCTGGATGAATGGGAAATTTGGGTGGAGTAACCGCACACAAAGGGATTAGTGATGGGATCCTCCAAGAGACTTTGTTTGTCTTTTACTGCTGGAAAACATTCCAGTGACTGAAAACTGGGACAGATTAGAAAAACCCTTTTGTTAATGGAAGAATTTCCCATCCATGGGATCTTATTAAAGAGACAAAATTCTTTGTTTTACGTTTAAAGGATAACTACATGATGTGTGTTAATAACGTGTTACTAAACAGTAAAATCTGTCTATATATGCAGTAAAAAGCATGCTTGTTATACGGACTGTGGAATCTAAGGGGTTAATCATCCGAATTGTTTAAAAAGGTGGTTTTATCCTGTCTTCTCTGATCCTCCTCTCCTTCCACTGTCCCCAATCCATCTGCTGATATACCAGAGACTTGGGGGTAAGCTGCACATGCTCAGTTTGGTGTGTATTGCTAGAGATCTTTTTTTTTTGTTTTCTTGGGAGGGTGCATGTAATCAGCACAGGGCCAATCAGCACTGTCCAGACAGAGGGTCAGGGGTGATGCAGCCTCATAAGACAATCAGGGGAGAAAGAAAACTCCTCCTACAAGCTTTAACCAGTGCTCTGCTGGACACTGATAGAATTCACAAGACTTCTTTAACTGCTGATGAGAAAAGGTATTTAGTAATATAGTTGCATTTCCATGTTGTGTGTACTGTGGCAGACCAGATATAGTGAATGCAGGGTCCAGGGAGAGTGGATATAGTGAATGCAGGGTCCAGGGAGAGCGGATATAGTGAATGCAGGGTCCGGGGAGAGCGGATATAGTGAATGCAGGGTCTGGGGAGACCAGATATAGTGAATGCAGGGTCTGGGGAGACCAGATATAGTGAATGCAGGGTCCGGGAAGACCAGATATAGTGAATGCAGGGTCCAGGGAGAGCAGATATAGTGAATGCAGGGTCCAGGGAGACTGGATATAGTGAATGCAGGGTCTGGGGAGACCAGATATAGTGAATGCAGGGTCCTGGGAGACCAGATATAGTGAATGCAGGGTCCGGGAAGACCAGATATAGTGAATGCAGGGTCCAGGGAGACCAGATATAGTGAATGCAGGGTCCAGGGAGACCAGATATAGTGAATGCAGGGTCCGGGAAGACCAGATATAGTGAATGCAGGGTCCGGGAAGACCAGATATAGTGAATGCAGGGTCCGGGAAGACCAGATATAGTGAATGCAGGGTCCGGGGAGACCAGATATAGTGAATGCAGGGTCCGGGAAGACCAGATAGTGAATGCAGGGTCCGGGGAGACCAGATATAGTGAATGCAGGGTCTGGGGAGACCAGATATAGTAAATGAAGGGTCCAGGAAGACCAGATATAGTGAATGCAGAGACCGGGGAGACCAGATATAGTGAATTCAGGGTCCTGGGTTTAGTAACACTTTAAGGCCAGATTAAGCGCACACAAGTGTAAACTTATTTATTTATTTCAGGTACTTATATAGCACCGTCAATTTACGCAGCGCTTTACATATATAATGTAAATTTACATCAGTCCCTAATTCTCAAGGGGTGTACAATCCAAGGTCCCTAACTTATATTCATACATACAAATACTGGAGCCAATTTAGACAGGAGCCAATTCACCTACCAGCATGTCTTTGGAGTGTGCAAGGAAATTGGAGTACCCAGAGGAAACCCACACAGGCACAGGGAGAACATGCAAACTCCAGGTGGTGCCGTGGTTGGGATTTGAACCAACGACCTTAGTACTGCCAAATTTCAGACCTTACCTAGAGAGCTATAAATGCTAGTTTTGCAGCCAGTTTGCTCTGCTGTCAGCAGTATGCAGAGCTGATCTCCTAGCCCTCAGAGGTGGGATCAGACATGGGCCCCCATGGGATCTTATAAAAAAGATTCTTTACTATTAAAGGATAATCACATGTATGTTATTAAACTTGATTAAGAGAACACATGAATAAACTTCAGATCATATCTAGGTGCCAGAAATACCAGTTTTGAAACCAATTTGCTGAGTTCTCATCTCTTAGCTCTCTTAGGTAGGGTCAGACATGGGCCTCCATGGGATCTTACTAAAACAACAAAATTATTTGCATTACTATCAACTACATAAGCTCCGAAAGCTTTTACCACCTTCATGACCAGGCTATTTTTTCTATTCGGCACTGTGCTATTTTACCTGGCAATTGTGCAGTCATGCAACACTGTACACAAATTAAATTTATATAATTTTTTTTCACACAAACGGAGCTTTCTTTTGGTGGTATTTAATCACCACTGGGTTTTTTTTGTTTTTGCAATATAAATGAAAAACAATTTAAAATGTGGGAAAAAAATATTTTCTACTTTCTGTTATAAATCATATCTAATACAATAAATTCCGTCATAAATTTAGGCCGAAATGTGTTCTGCTACATGTCTTTGGTGACAAAAATCCCAGTAAGTGTCTATTATTTGGTTTGTGCGAAAGTTATAGCATTTACAAACTATGGGATTTACACTATATTGCCAAAAGTATTGGGCCAGCCCTCCAAATCATGTGATTCAGGTGTTCCAATCACCTCCATGGAGCACACAGTGCGCAGAAGTCGCCAACTGTCTGCAGATTCAATAGCTAAAGACCTCCAAACTTTGTGTGGCCTTCAGATTAGCACAACAACAGTGTGTAGAGAGCTTCATGGAATGGGTTTCCATGGCCGAGCAGCTGCATCCAAGCCTTACATCACCAAATGCAATGCAAAGCGTCGGATGCAGTGGTGTAAAACACGCCACCACTGGACTCTAGAGCACTGGAGACGTGTTCTCTGGAGTGACCAATCACGCTTCTCTGTCCGGCAATCTGATGGACATGTCTGGGTTTGGCAGTTGCTACAAGAACGCTTCTTGCATGACTGCATTTTGCCAAGTGTAAAGTTTGGTGGAGGGGGGATTATGGTGTGGGGTTGTTTTTCAGAGGTTGGGCTTGGCCCCCTAGTTCCAGTGAAGGAAACTCTTAGGGCGTCAGCATACCAAGACATTTTGGACAATTTCATGCTCCCAACTTTGTGGGAAGAGTTTGGGGATGGCCCCTTCCTGTTCCAACATGACTGCACACCAGTGCACAAAGCAAGGTCCATAAAGACATGGATGAGTTTGGGGTGGAGGAACTTGACTGGCCTGTACAGAGTCCTGACCTCAACCCCATAGAACACCTTTGGGATGAATTAGAGTGGAGACTGTGAGCCAGGCCTTCTCGTCCAACATCAGTGCCTGACCTCACAAATGCACTTCTGGAAGAATGGTCCAACCTTCCCATAGACACCCTCCTAAACCTTGTGGACGGCCTTCCCAGAAGAGTTGAAGCTGTTATAGCTGCAAAGGGCGGGGCCAACTCTATATTGAACCCTACGGACTAAGACTGGGATGCAATTCAAGTTCATGTGCCTGTAAAGGCAGACGTCCAAATACTTTTGGCAATATAGTGTATTTACGCCTGTGAATTCTGTGATGCGTAGTCACTATGCCCTGTGAATAAGCACTTTGGTGTCACACGTTCACAGAGCCTGCCTCTTGAACTACAGAGGTGCTGAAAGGTGGAATTTCAGTAGGCAGAGTCAGTACAGGAATCACTGCTTACTACTTAGCTGCAAAGAGTGGGCCAACTCAACCTGCTGCGCATAGTTGTGCACTGTGCGCTTCATCATGCACTGACCCCGCCCTGTCATGTTACGTGGCCTACCACTTGGTGGCTGAGTTGCTGTTGTTCCCAGTTGCTTCCACTTTGTTATAATCCCACTAACAGTTGACCGCGGAATATTTAGTAGCCAGGAAATGTCACGGATGGACTTATTGCACAGGTGGCCACCTATCACGGGACCACGCTTGGAGTCACTGAGCTCCTGAGAGCGACCCATTCTTTCACAAATGTTTGTAGAAGCAGTCTGCATGCCTAGGTGATGATTTTATACACCTGTGTCCATGGAGGTGATTGGAACACCTGAATCCAATGATTTGGAGGGCTGGCCCAATACTTTTGGCAATAGAGTGTATATAAAATCACATCACTGTGCAATGGTTTTGATGTACCATTTGCAGTAAACTTTGTATTGTAATTGTTTAGATCATCTTCTTTCACTTTCGGATTTGTATGCAAAGCAGGTAGATGAAGGGTTAGGTAAATGTTATGGTAATGTAGGGGGAGGGAAGCTCATTTGATTGACAGCTGTTATGGGTATAAGTTTAGGTGAATCAGTGGATTTTACCATTCCTTTCAGAACTTGGCACAACTGAGGGTAAGCATGTGCTCTCCTATTCTTTATGTTCTTCTTTTGAAATAATGTTTGTCCATCATTGTTCTTTTCTGTGTGTGGATTTGTGATTTTCCCCCATTTTATAAGTGTTTACATACCTCTTAGCTCCTTATGCAGCTGAGAACAGAGAGCTGTGGGAGGAGAAACAGCAGAACACTAATCTTCTCAGTGAAAGGCTGCGTATGGGTGTACAGGGTGTCAGCAGACGTCTGATTATTGTAGAGCAGGCTGCATTCCCAACAGAGCCAGAGAACTGACCACACTGTGCTCTAATGTCTAGAGTGGTCAGTTTTTAATAGGAGAGACTGACATGAACCCCAGGGATTTCACATAAAGGAAGCAATACAAAGAGAACAGAATACTTTTTTCATATAAGTACATGGTACAGCGGGGACATAACAGGAATATGAAATGCTGGGTTTACATACTCTTTAATGGTGATGGGCGAATATGCTTGGGTTTGATTTATGAACACAGAAAAATCTACAAACTGGGAACTTTAATGCAAAACGCCAATAGAAGGTGAAACTTGAAAATCAATTCTCTCTAATTTAGGTCTAATAGGCAATGGATTGTCAAACAAAGAGTATTGGGAGCTGGGCACTGCAAAAGGGGGGGGGGGGGGGGGGGGGGGCATGTACCAATGCAAAAAGAAATGTAAGAAAATACTGTTCAGCAGGGAACAGCTTATGTCATAAGGCTTAACCACATCCCCGCCACCCTATAGCAGATATAAAGCTGCAGGGGTGCGCAAAATCATGTATATATACATGATTTTGCATTTCTGGATAGGGGGTGCACGCAAGCCACGCATGCGCCCTAGTCGTGCCGCCATTCGCAGCCACGGGTGTCAAACACCGGGTCCCTGCCAGTGATTACCCACTGGCGCCCAGAGATTACCGAGGATCTCCGATGGGGAGGAGGGCTACTTTGTTCAGTAACAGTCCTCCTCCTTGTCGGTTCGGGTACACTGCTCTGGATGGCTCAGAGAAGCACCAACACACCACCCCCCAGCAAAACACTCCCAGCACACAGTTAACCCTTTGATCGCCCCTCATGTTAACCCCTTCCTTCCCAGCACCATTAGTACAGTGTCAGTGCTTTTTTTTTTAGCTCTGATCACTTTTTTGGTGTTACTGGGGATGTCAGTGACACCAAGTCAGTTCCCCTCAGTGTCAAAATGCCCGCTGCAGTCTCACAGTCCCGCTATAAGTCGCATTATTAGTAGAAAGAAAAAAATTCCAGTGTCTATACCGCCATTTGTAAACGCTTTAACTTTCACATAAACCAATAAATTTACACGTATTGGAATTTTTGTTAGCAAAGACATGTCTCAGAATACATTTTGGCCTAAATTTATGACGAAATTTGATTTTTTACATTTTTTTACTGGACATGTTTAATAGCATAAAGTCAAAAATGTTTTTTTTCTCAAAATTGTCAGTCTTTTTTTTATATAGAGCAAAAAATAAAAAACAAACAGGCAATTAAATACCACCGAAAGAAAGCTCCATTTGTGGGAAAAAAAGGATGCAAATTTAATATGAGTGCAGCGTTGCATGACCGCACAATTGTCAGTAACACAGCTCCGTAACGCAAAAAAAAAGGCCTGGTCAGGAAGGGGGGTAAATCCTCTGGAGGGCAAGATTTTAAAGGGCAATAAAGTGAAAATGTACAATTCCCTATAAGCCATGCTTGGGGGATGCCTTAATCATGCCTTTGAAGTGGTGCATCTGTAGGATATACTAAAGCAA